TGTAAGCATCCATCTCTCTGAATATGTACTCAGAAAGTGCCATCCAGAATAGCTTTGTTATTTTCTGTACAGCAGTTTAGTCATTACGATCTCATGTGATCACATCTCCACTGAGACACGCATCCTGAGACAATGTAGAGTTGCAGCATGTTTGTTAAAATTCAAGTTGAATAAATTACCGTAATATTCAGAACATACGCAGGGGAAAACAGTATTTTCAGAATTCCTGCCTTGTGTGTGTAATGCTCCACACTTTTTCCATTTCAGAACAAACTGTTATTATGGATGCTTAAATGTCATCATAAAGTACTTGTCAGTGTTGCCTAGACAACAGTATACTTTCTGAGCAAACAGGATTTTTTAACAGTCATAAATTCAGTGCCATCACTGAATTACAACATGGATCATTAGAGCAGCTTAGAGCAATTAAGTTGACTTATCCCAAACTAACCATAGACTGTACAAAGTTAAGTGAAATAATTAACCTCTTTTACTACAAAAGGGAAGACCAGTAAAAGGATACACATAAAGGTATATTAAAAAACTGATCAAGGAGTTAAAATGCTACTGTGATTTATTTCAGTTGCCTGTTGTTCAAAGTAAACAGGAGTAACACATTTCTGAAGGTTTATCTCATAAATCTTTATTTAACCTTTTGTGCCAAGACTAGAGTCACTCATCGTTATCTACATTTTCAGCTCTACCCATTTGTAGAAAAACCTGTTCCCAGGAAGCGTAGAAAGCAGTTTCATTTATAGTGAAGTCGTATAAAATTTTCCCTTTGAATCTATGTAGGGAGGCATGGATTATTGAAGGTTTTCCGTTGAGAAACAATTACTCCATTCATTTATTGAATATTGTATATTTTTATCTTGTGCAAAATATCCTGTGGGCCTCTTAGAATTTACTGGAAGAACCAATTTAAAATGAAAATACCCAATTAACTCAAAATTATTATGATGCACACAGAGTCTGCATTCTTTGAGAGTCAATATGTTTGTTTTGGCGTTGTTACGCGATTCCTAAGGTGTGAGGCCTTGCCTTTGAAGTTGTTCCTCAGCCTGACATGGTCATGAAGATAGGTTTGCTTATTTAAAGTTACTAATGCTAATACACTAAGGGATTTCTAGTTCTTCCAAGATTTCAAATAGTTCTATACATATAGAGAAAGTTTAGCTGTTAACACTAAAATTATAGCATAAGAAAGTATCTGAAATTACCTATCTCTGTTTTATGGTACCCAAATCAGAACCTCTGAATTTGAGCTCAGTATTTGTTCACTCAACAAAGAGGCATTTTTAGTTGTTTTAGTGCTTGCTAGTCTCAGAAACCGGTAGATTTCCCAGCTTCCGGGAGCTTCCAGTTCTGTCTGCACCCTGTAATTCAGAGAGGATGAGTTTGCCCCACCATTTAAATGTCTTCAAGACATTCTATCGTCTGCCGGCTTTTTTTCTTTTTTTTTTTTTACATATTAAAATCTCCACCAATATGCAGTTTTTAAAATAATGATAGGTAAACTTTATTGAGCAGTGGCAGGTCAAGGACTGTTGTCTTTGGGGGTCATGGCCAAAAACTTTTACTGATGGAATTAGCAATCAGAATGGATTGGAGAGCATTGCTCTTGATTGTGCTCTCTCTTTCCTCCTCTGATTGTCTCTCAGTTTCCTCTCTCACCCTCTTCTTCCCTCCCATCATCCCTTCTCTCCTCCCTCTCTCTGACTTCAGTCTCTCCCTCTCTACTGGCTTCTTCTTCAATAGTGTAAGTACATTTTTGTATATTTCCAATTGTCTTATCCCAGAAGACTCATTTATAACTTCTCTTCATTCAGCCTTCTACAGCCTCATCTTTCACATATATATGTTTGTTGTTGTGTGCTGTTGAGATAGTTCTGACTCACAGTGACCCTATAGGACAGAGTAGAACTGCCCCGTAGGGTTTCTTAGTCTGTAATCTTTACGGGAGCAGATTGCCAGGTGTTTTCTCCCGCAGAGCCACAGATGGGTTTGAACACCAACCTTTCAGTTAGCAGCCAAGTGTTTAACTATTGTGCCGCCAGGGCTCCTACATACATATATATATATATACACACACACACACACATATATATATATATATGAATACACTACATATTTTCTGAATCTGTTTCTATCTTATTCATAAAGTCCTAGGTGCCTTTCAACTTGACTTCATTAATACCCACCATCCTACCATGACCATGACCTCCAAAGGTATACTTTCATGTATTCATTCAACAGGTTTTTTTATTTTTTTAAACATCTGTTTCATCTCAGGCACTGTTCAAGGCTCTAGGAATTTAGCGTTGAATAAGGTTGTTGGTTGGAACTCACCCAGCGGCTCCTCGGAAGAAACACGTGGCGATCTGCTCCTATAAAGTTTATAGTCTAGAAATCCCTGTGGGACAGTCCTACTCTGTCCTTTGAAGTTGCTCTGAGTCAGAATTGAATCGATGGCACCCAACAGCAGCAACAATCCAGGTGCTAGCCCTGCCTGCAGAGAGTTTACAATCTACTAGAAGAGGAAAACATTAATTAGATAAGCATGCAAATTGTATAACTGGCAAGTTGCTAAGTGCTATCTATAAAGAAAGCTCAGAAGGAGTTTTGATCAAATACAGGAAGACCTAGTTCAGCCCACGGGGTTTAGGGAAGTGACAGACATCTGAAGAATGGGTACACATTAATTAGACATAAGGAATGGCTTTTGTAAAGGCCTTGAGGCAAGAGGAAGAATAAAAATTCAAAGAAGGCTTGTGTGAAAGGAGAAAAGCAGGCGAAGGATAAATTTATGAAGCCATATGAGATTAGAGAGAGTCAGGTGCCTGATTGTAGGATAGGAGTCAGACTAAGGATGCATGATGTCAGAGAAGGGGGTCTAAGTAAGGATTTTGCAGGTAAAGAAGAGGGATTATATGATCTGATTTACATTTATTAAAGTTTACTCTGCATGTTTCTCAAATCTTCCAGTCTTTGTATCCAAAGTTTACATTCATTTGTACTTCTCTACAGGGCTTCATTTTTTAGTTATTATTATGTACTGTTTAAGATAATCTTTGTTCTCTGATAAGCTAAGATATAAAGAATTTTTCCTTATAGTCCTTTGATCAACTCTTCTAGAAAAGTGATCAGCTTGCGTTTCATAACCAAAAAAGTTGTCAGGGTTTCCTAACGGAAATCAGATATAGCTCCCTTTTTACAGATACCTGGGGAAGTTCTTGCAACTTTTAACCTTTCCCCCTAGTTCCTCAGATTGAAATGTGATGCTCTGTGTTGTTTATTTAGCTTTGAAGGCTATTGTTTTGAAACCTGTTTGTTTTAAATATACCTTGACACACACATGCAGCAGATCACATGATCAACAGACATTCATGGATGGCTCAGCCTAGCATCATGAACAGCTCCCAGTGTGCTAGCTTGAATCCACCATGACCTTCTCACTCAGGAACTTATAACCAGGATGCAAGTGAATGTGAGAAGCAGGTGATTTAAGGATATATACACACATATCATGTACATTATTGATGCAAGTAACCAAATACTTGTTACACACCTGAAAATCTTGCAAGAAATCTGATAATATTTTGAGATGGAATTGAGATCCTCCACTCCAGACTAATGCTGTCTGTATCTTTCCTGTCTATTCTGGTGAACGACCCAAACATTTGACGCATTTATTGACCACGGTTCAAGTATCAGATGCTATGCTGACACGGGGGTTACAAACCTTTTTAAGAAGTTTACCATCCATTTGAATAGATATGACACTCAAGTGTCAATGATATAAATCATAGAGGATAACAGGCATTCTAAGTGGCAAGTGAATTGCATGCATAGTGATGAGTTTAGGAATTCAGAGAGAGAGGGAATGTAGTTATGAGTTGACAAGTTGGTCAATAAAAATACAGGAAATGGACTGATAGGTTAGTCCCTTCTCATTCTTCTTTCTAAGTTCAGATGTCATCTGTTTTGAGAAACTTTTCTGAACCACCCTAGTGTGGTAACAATGGCTAAAGTAATACTCTATTGTATCCCCTGTCTATCTCCTTCAGAGTTCTTCTCAACAACCTGAAATTATCGTGTTCATTTATTTGTTTCTTGTGTATGCCACCCACCAGAATATTATTTCCATGAAGGTAGGGACTTCTATCTTGCTCACACTTTGCCTGGCACCTGTTATGCACTCATTATATAAAAAGACAAAAAACAAACCAAATCTGTTGAAGTTGATTATGACTTATGACAACCTCATGTGTTAAAGAGTAGAACTGAGCTCCATAGGATTTCCTTTGCTTAAATCTTTATGGAAGCAGATTGCTAGGCTTTTCTTCTTTTCTTTCTTCCCTAGCTAATTAGTTATATGCTGAAGCTTTAAGGACTTTATGTATATGCTCAGAAATTCTGAAGTTATATTCATTTTGGTTGCCTGGGTTCTTTGCAATAGCTCTCAGATGACCATGCAAAAGTTCTTCTGCAAAATTTGAGTTTTGATTGGGTCCAGTATAACTGTCCCAATCGATAATGAAAGGCAAACAGGTTTCTTATTTCTTATATACTATTTAAAACTTGAGGGAAATTTTGTCATGTCAACTTTTAATTTTCTCCAAACTGATGAAGCCAACCCGTGAGTAATCTACCACACCATATATTTTTGGAAAACATTTCACACTTATCTGATTTGATAAAGCAATCCCAAAATTAGGTGCAATGTTAAGTAATGCTGTTAAGTAATGCTGCATAAAAATATCATGCAAAGTTTGAATTGATGGAGCATCTTTTCTCACTCAACTCTCTGTCTGTGTGTGTGTGTGTGTGTGTGTGTGTGTGAATTTACTTTTAATTTTCTTTGTTTCCAAGAAAGCTAAGGCTAGTTTATCATGCCTTAAAAATACTAGCATAAGGCAACTTATCCTGTAAAAATGTTGCTATTTATTTGGAAAAACCCACTATTACGTGTTTATTTGTCTAATTTGTATTTCTTTTAGAATTTCTTTTTTAAAGGATGGAGGCCTCAAAATAGCCAACGTGACTAAAGCTGATGTTGGAACTTATACCTGCATAGCAGAAAACCAGTTTGGGAAAGCAAATGACACAACACGTTTGGTTGTTACAGGTACGTGCATTTCTTAAAAGCTGCTTAGGGATTCTCCTTATGGTATATTGGTATGTTATTAAGGTCAAAGAAAGTTTGTGTTTTTCACAATATGCAGTTTACTGTGAAGGTAGAGCCTGTGTTTGCACTTGTGTTAGTTTCAAGAGGTAAAAAAGTCAAGGGAGGAATTCTTAATATTTCTTTAGCACAGCACAGTGTGTAGCCAGGAATGCATTGATGATGGGCAATAAGAATTACTAATAGCAAATGCTGATGTAAAATTTTCTTTTGTTTTATGCTCTTCTTTTATGTCACATCTTTTCAGTATACTTTTTATTTTTCATTATCTTTGATATTTTTTCAAATATGTTAGAGCCCATGAAATAATCCTTGATATCAGTAAGCATTGCTTAGAGTGGTGGATATATTGCATTCATTTATTCATTCACAAAAGAGTCTGAGCACCTACTATGGCCCAGGTGCTTGGGCTATACCAGTTCACTGACAGATACTGCCCTCCTGAATCTTACATTCTACCAGAAGAAGAAAGAAAATAAGAAATAGGAGACATAAATGAGCTAATTATTGGAAGGAAAACATTACAAACAATTGAGAAAGTGAAGAGGAGTGTATGGGGAGAGGCAAGTTGGAGCATGACATGGGGTGATCAGAGTAGGCCTCATTCCGAAGGAGGAATTTGAACAAAGATTTGCTGGAGATGAAGGAGTGAACCAACAGCTTTCTAGGGAGCAATCATGTAGGGACCTTGAAGACCATTGTCAGGACTGTAGATTTTAGTTGGAGTGAAAAGTGGAACCAGTGCAAGGTTGTGAGCAAAAATGGCATGATCTGGAATACGTTGTTAATGGATGAAACTAGTGGCTCTGTTGAGAACAGACTGTGGGGAATCAAGGGTGGAAACTGGAGAGGTCTCAGAGGCCATTGCAGGAATCCAGGCAGGAGGTGATAAGGGTCCAAATGAGGAGGCAGTAGAGGAGTGAACGAGAAGGGATCAGGCTGCATATATTCTGCATGTACAGCCAACAGGATTTGCTGACAGATTAGGTCGAAGAAAAAGAAAAGAGACCAGGTGACTGTAGGGTGTTTGGTGAGCAGTCAGAAGAATGACAGTCCAAACAGCTTAGATGGGAAAGGCTGGAGACTGGAGAGGTTTGGGGAGGAAGAAGATCAGGAGTTCAGTTTTGGAGGTGTTACGTTTGAGATCTTTATTGGGTTCTGTATTCATAAGCAGACCAGGGTATTCTGCATAATAAAGAAATCTAAGATTTAGTGGATTAATGCTTTTTGCTCATGCTGCAAATCCATGGTGGGCCCTCACTCAGGAATGAAGGTTCCAGTTCCTCCACCATCTCACATGTTGCCTATCACCCTGGAAGGAAAAAGAGGACAAGTAGAGTTGCCCATTAGATGTCTGCCTGCCAGTGCCATGCATAAGTTCTGCTTATACTCATGACTATGCCAGAATTCAAAGGAGTTAGGAATTTAATTCTACTCTGTGCTCTGAAGGAGGAAAATTGGACATGGTGCTGAACAACATTAATATCTATCACAACATCCAAGTGGAGCTGTTGAGTAGGTATGAATTTTCATTTGGGGAGAAAGCTCAAGGATGGAGACACATTCAGGAATTGTTAGGACTAGATGAAATCACCAAGTGAGTGATGAATACAGAGAATAAAAAAGACCAGAGACTGAGCATCAGACACTCCAACATTAAGAAATTAGAGAAAACAAAGGAACCATAAAAGGAGACAGAAATGCAGTGACCAGCATGGTAGGAGAAAAGAAAGAGTGTGGCAGCCCAGAAACTAAGCAAAGAAAATTAATAAGAAGAAGACAATGATCAAGTGTTGCAGATGCTGCTGAGGTCAGGTAGAATGAGACTAAAGTGTTTATCATTGGAATTAGCAAAAGGGTGGTTTTTGGTGACCTTGATGAGAACAGGTGGTTTGGGGGTGGGGGAACCTGACTGGAATGGGTTAAAGAGAGAATTTAATAGAGGAACAGCAGACAATATACGTAGGTGACTCTTTTGAGGACTTTTGCAGCAACATGGAGGAAAGAGACGAGGATGAGCAATGGAAAGGTAGAATCCTGAGAAGTTTAATTCACTATGAATGGAAGGTCTATGGGGATGACAGGGAGAAGGCAGTGTACATATAGATGTTTGCATTGGGGGAGATAACAGGCATTAAGTAACATTTTAACATAGTACTCCCTTTTTTGTTTTGTTTTAACCATTCTAACCATCTTTTGTGTCTTTCAAATCCATGGTAACCTTAAATGTTTGGGTCTATGTATGTTGGTGGTATATATTTGCCAGTCATTCAAAGTTGGAGAAAAATGTGGTTTTGCTTTCTATCGCTATATTTCACAAAACAATAAAACTAAGTTGAAATTGGTTTTTTAATAGTCTTATGACCCTTGTTTAGAGATGACTTTAATTTTTCAGCTCAGATATCCTATAAACTCAGATATTCTCATTTGTATAACAGGAATTTGTGGATCCAATGAACTATGTAATAGCTCTGCATCAAATTGTCTATACTTTAATCTGGTAGCCTTTACTTACATGTGTGTGTTTCTGTACATATGTATATATGAACACACGCACTACTATGATTAACAATCTGGCTGTGTAAATTGTTTTCCTCACAGTACAAATGCTAAAGTTTCACTTTAACAATTTTTTCCCGAATAGAACCAACAAGAATAATTTTGGCACCTTCAAACATGGATGTCTCGGTTGGTGAGAGCGTCATTTTGCCTTGCCAGGTGCAACATGACCCCCTGTTAGACATCATGTTTACCTGGTATTTCAATGGGGCCCTCACAGATTTTAAGAAAGAAGGATCTCACTTTGAGAAAGTTGGTGGGGTAAGTTGTAGTGCCTTCTTTATGCTTTTTAAATTACATGGTGCTCTGATACATTGTCTCTGAACAGACATCTGACACATAGGCACTGCTGGAGAAATGTTCCTTAAATAATAACAGATACTCTCAATACTGTTGTGATCTAATTTTATTTTTTATAATTACCAGAAAGTGTGCCCATTTTCTTTGACCTATAATTTATCATTTTCATTAAAGTTATGCATGTTGTATTTACGGAGGCCTGGTGGTGCAATGGTTAAGCACTCAGCTGCTAACCAAAAGGTCAGCAGTTTGAACACCCCCTGCAGCTCTGCAGGAGAAAGACGTGGCAGTCTCCTTCTGCAAAGATTTACAAACTTGAAGACCCTATGGGCAGTTCTAATCTATCATATAGGGTCGCTATGAGTCGGAATTGACTCCATGGCAGTGGGTTTTTTTTAATAAATATGTTGTATTTATATTAAAAGTTATTATTATTCATGATAATTTTGTTGTTAGTAGCCCATGGAAGGGAAACTTTTCTTATGCAAGTTTTTACTTTCCAGATGACATATTTATGATGAAGTGGGAGGGAAGTCACACTTGCTAAATGCCCCCATGTATCAGGCCAGGTACTTCATCCCCGGGAATGCTCACCCACCATAGCACTGGACATTCCTAGTAAGAATCTTCATTTCACAGATGCACAAAATGGGGATTTGAAGAGTTGATGTACTTGCCCAGGGTCATGCAGCTACTTAGTGGTGGAGCTTATATTCAAACCCAGACTTGGGTGTCCCCAAAGTTCAAAAGCTTTCTAGATTCCATTCTCTCTCCTCATTTACAATGTTTCCACATGAGAAAAGATTGCAGATTTGGAGGAGTTGATCCTTTGTGTGGATTCGCTTAAGAAGACTCAGTGCTGGGGAACCAAACAGCCCTCCCAGCTCATGTCACATCTGTGAATCCAGATTGAAAGCCAGTCTCCTTTGCAGGCTGTTTGCATTGACTCAGGGATTTCTTCATTCTGTTTGGCTAGATGTCAGGGCTGCTTAGTCAAGTCTGAGTTTTGTCCTTATGGACTTAGCATGTAAGCTTTACTAAAGCAGAAAACCATGTGATGGGCAGCACATATATACTCATTTGATAAAGACTTCTTATTAAAAGTATGTATGTGTACGTAAGGAGCCTGGTGGCACAGTGGTTAAGCGCTTGGCTGCTAACCAAAAGGTTGGCAGTTCGAATCCACAAGATGCTCCGTTGGAGGAGGATGTGGCTGTCTGCTTGCATAAAGACTTAGAGCCTTGGAAACCCTATGGGACAGTTCTACTCTGTCGTATAGGGTCACTGTGAGTCAGAATTAACTTGACGTCAATGGGTTATATGTGTATGTACAATGTATTAGGATCCTATGCAGTCTGAAAGGATGCTCTTTTAAAAGAAAAAAATGAAGGTGTTTAGATACCTAGCTACAATTAAGTACAATTTCAGTAACCATTTCTGTTTTCAACCATCTGCCTGATTCACATATTTTAGAAGTCCTAGCTTTTTGAATTGTTCTGACCAGTTCAAGGCTTTCCAGAACTTCCCAAGTTTCTACAGCCCTTTAGCATTTCTCCTAGTATTGCTTTAAATGCCCAATAATTGTTACTATTTTAATGCAACAGGAAAAGACACATGCCAATATTCTCTGTCAGCTCTCTACCCCGTAGTGAGGGTCTCCTGTCATCTCCCTTTCCTTGGGCAGATGGCAAGGGAAAGGACAAAAGACTGACATGTTACCTTCAAAGAGTCCCGTTCACCAATCTGGAGAAGTATTCTCCTCTAAGCCAGCTGTACTTCTAATTTTAATTATTAGACATAGAACTTGATTGGAAACATTAGCTACCTTTGTCATATATTGTAGATAATTGAGTGTCTGTTTCATCAGCTGGTCTATAAGCTGTTGATAATGTCTTACCCAACTCAGTGCACTCCATCTTTGTCAATGCTAAGTAAATACGCATTGAAGGAATGAAAGTCCAAAGTAGTTTGATTCTAATCAAACGGTCCCCAAGAAGCACTCACTAAGACTGAGATTTTTGCTTTCTGTAAAAGGGGCTCAGAATTAGGAATATCCGAGTTTATAATGTAACTTAACTGCTCTTGGTTTATGCAGCCCTGAAAAGGTTCTACAAAGCCCTGAAGTCATCGCTGTAGAAGAAGCAGGTATCCTAAACATGAAATTTCATAAATTAATGCTATCACTTGCCAGTTCTGTCCCTTTCCTAACATACTAGTTCATGGCCTATGAATTTGTTTTATTGACTTGTACCATTAGTAACTTAATATTCTCCAATCAGTATAAAACGGTAAGCCATACAAAATGACATTACCCTCAAGCACAGGCAATTAAGTAAATGGTTTTTCTGTTGCTTAAGAAGGGAATCATATAACAACCCTTGTCCTCTGATTGTGTGTTCACTGCCGCACGCACATTAATAACTAGAAAGTCTGCTTATCTTTTATCCCAATATGTTCATGGATATATCCTGTTTTCAAAAGCAACGAGCTGCGAGGGAGAAACCTGGTAAATGGGAAGGTTGCTTAGAGAGGTAGATAGTAAGAGCCTCATTTATAAAATGGGGAGGGTGGTTTAGATCATGGATAATCCACCTCAGTGTTTTCAACCAATTCAGTCAGTTGTCTTTGGGGCTATATAGGGTATTCGGTTCTCATTTGTGAGTTTTCAAAAACACACAGCTTTAGGGAAAAATTCAGAGGCTCAAAAGGCGCCAGCAATCTGAAACAAATCTCTCATGTTGACTTGAACATCATGGCAAAGGAGTGTGATGACAGTAAACACAGGTTTCTGCACAGTCCGAATTACATACTCAGAGAAGTTTATTAAAACAAGCGTCTAAAGCAAATTGGCACATCACAAAGGAGAAATATGGTCCAAAGATGGGCTTCAGCCTGTGCTCATGGAACAAATAAAAGTCATATAATCAAGCCAGCTGTAAAAGGCTTCCACTTAAGCCTTCTGGTTGCCAAGCAAATCTCAGTAATAGGCACCACAGTGAAGTAACTAAAGAAGTGCGAGATTTGTGTTCAGACACGCATAAATTCTAGGCACTGTTGCTTATAAGATGATGACAGTGGGTGAGTCCAGGGACAGATTACCCAATAAACAAGGTAAGCACATGATTAGGACATCATCAAAACAGGGGCATCAGTTGCCCAAAGCAACGATCCGTGGATGCCAAGCAGACAAGTCACAAGGAAAAGCGAGCACAAATTTCTTGGCATAGACAAGTGAATGCTTCCACCATTGCATCTGTTTGTTGAAACAACTCAGTTGGTACTCTTCCAATTCCTGAAACCTTGTTTTTTGTCAATGCCTTCAATGCAGCTTGGGTTTCTTCCTTTAGTACCATCAGTTCTTGATCGTATGCTACCTTCTGAAATCATGGAATGTCAACCAGTCCTTTTTTGGTACTATGACTCCGGGTATTCCTTCCACCTTCTTTTGATGCTTCCTGCATCATTTACTATTTTGCCCATAGAATCCTTCAATATTGCAGTTCAAGGCTTGCATTTTTTCTTCAGTTCTTTCACCTTGAGAAATGCTGAGCATGTTCTTCCCTTTTGGTTTTCTAACACCAGGTCTTTGCACATTTTATTATAATATTTTGTCTTCTCAAGCTGCCACTTGAAATCATCTGTTCAGCTCTTTACTTCATCATTTCTCCCTTTCACTTTAGCTGCTCTACATTCAAGAGCAAGTCTCAGTGTCTCTTCTGACATTTATTTTGGTCTTTTCTTTCTTTCCTGTCTTTTTAATGACCTTTTGCTTTCTTCATGAACAATGTCCTTGACGTCATCCCACAACTCGTCTGGTCTACGGTCATTAGCGTTCAATGAGTAAAACCTGTTCTTGAGACAGTCAGTGTCTATATTCAGATAGGATATACTCAAGGTCATATTTTGGCTCTTGAAGACCTGTTTTAATTATCTTCAGCTTCAACTCGAACTTGGATATGAGCAATGGATGATCTGTTCCACAGTTGGCCCCTGGCCTTGTTCTGATGATACTGAGTTTTTTCATCGTCTCTTTGCACAGATGTAGTCAGTTTGATTCCTGTGTATTCCGTCTGACGAGGTCCACATGTATAGTTGCCATTTATTTTGTTGAAAAAAGGTGTATTAGAATGAATAAGTCGTTGGTCTTACAAAATTCTATCATGCAATCTCTGGCATAGTTTCTATCACCAAGGCCGTGTTTTCCAACTACTGATCCTTCTTCTTTGTTTCCATCTTTTGCATTCCAATCACCAATAATTATCAATGCATCTTGATTGCATGTTTCATCAATTTCAAACTGCAGAAGGTGGTAAAGATCTTCAGTTTCCTCATCTTTGATATTAATGGTTGGTGCGTAAATTTGAGTAATAGTCGTATTAACTGGTCTTCCTTGTAGGTGTATGGATATTATCCTATCAGCGACAGTGTTGCGCTTCAGGATAGATCTTGAAATGTTCTTTTTGACAGTGAATGTGATGGCCTTCCTCTTCAATTTATCATTCCCAGCGCAGTAGACCATATGATTGTCCAATTCAAAATGGCCAATACCAGTCCATTTTAGCTCACTAATGCCTAGGATATCTATCTTTATGCAGTCCATTTCATTTTTGACTATTTAGAATTTTCCTAGATTCATACTTTGTACATTCCACATTCCAATTATTAATGGGTGTTTGCAGCTATTTCTTCTCATTTTAAGTCATGCCACATCAGCAAATGAAGGTCCCAAAAGCTTTACTCCATCCGTATCATTAAGATCAGCTCTACTTTGAGAGGGCAGCTCTTCCCCAGCCGTATTTTGAGTGCATTCCAACCTGAGGGGCTCATCTTCTGGCATTATACCAAACAATATTCTGCCGCTATTCATAAGGTTTTCACTGGCCAATTTTTTCAGCAGTAGACCACCAGGTCCTTCTTCCTAGTCTGTCTCAGTCTGGAAGCTCCGCTGAAACCTGCCCACC